GGTTTTCACTGTTGTGGCTCTGTACTTTAGAACTCCTTCCTTCTAAGCAATTCCTTCTCTCCTGACACTTTATAAAACTATTAAAACAACCCATCATGCTCTTTGGGTGGCCAGCTAGTGGATTTCTGTTAATTGTATACATTTCATTTTTGTTTTTATTCAGTGTTTTTTTGGCTGTTGTATCTATCCCAATTGCTGGATTGGGCCAGGGTACAAAAATGAGAAATTAATTAATAAGCACATTCTAGAAAGTCTTTTTTCCTTGTTCAGTGTTGGTTTGAATTGCAAGTGATATTTAAAATATGTATAAGTTAGCTGAAATTAGTTCTAATTATATCTCAAGGTTCTCTTCATATTCAGTAGTATCTTTATTGAAACTGGTCTCTGGTCCATGGTGTCACTGCATATGGTATACCATTCACATTTGTATAAGGAAGATTTTTCCCCCCTTCCCTTTCCTTTGTACTTAAATATTGTTTTGTAAATTAATAAGTTATTAGCATAGCTTTAGCTGTATTGAATAGAGTACTATAACTATTTTTTAAAAACTGTTAAGATCTTGAATCTATTCTGGCAAAAACTGGCTCAAATTACAGGAGAGATTGGCAGAGCATTGGGGCTTTCAATATGACATTGTCGCTGGCTTTCTTTGACAGATGAAAGACCACTCTGCCACTATAAATTTTATTATTATGCACCTTTTTTTGCATAAGAATAATTTTGCTTTTTGACTGTTCACATTTATACTTGTAGTTTATTGACAGACTGCTACTCAATGGGTTTGTTGCATGATATATACATATTTAACTGACCCAGTACGATTTTTTTCCCCATGAATTGCTGATGTTTCTCTTTTTGTGATCTTTAGCACTTACTTAAAAGAGTATAATATGTGGTAGCTGATACCACTAAGATATAATTTATTGTATTTATTTGATAAGTTTCTATCCCAATTTTTTTGGAACACTGGGAAGAATAATAAGCTGAGTTTATTTTTTTATAATTTGACTCTTCTCTCGTCTGTTATGAGCTCTCTTTTTGTACAGTAGTTGAAATTCTTTTTACAGTTAGATTCTGCCTTGAATCTTTCTAAAGGGGGAAAGGTGAAAGGAATTATTAATTAGCAGGCTGATAATCTCTGTGAATAAGGTAACAATTAAGGTTAGTCTTTAATTTCCTTATCCACATACTATAAAGGATGTGAAAAAGTATATATTTATCTTGCTTATGTTTTATAGTGTTTATACTTTTGATTAGGTTAAAATACTACGACTATACCAGAAGCCTGACTGAGTTACTGTCTAGTAGGTTTTCACTGACTGTGACTTTAAAGCAGGCATGTCAAACTCGCAACGTCACGTGACGTCGCGCGATGTATCGGAGCTTTTTCGCCATTGCTGGCAATGGGGTGGGCGCGGCTCCGGTATGATGAAACTGGCCCGCGGGCTGGCAGTTTGACATCCCTGCTTTAAAGAAACCAGATATGGTTGCTTTAAATTGAGAGTTCTGAATGTAGAGAAGTAAGCTGATGACAGGTAGGATGTCAGATCTTTCCAGTCAGAAAACCCTGATGGGAGAAGACACAAAGTTCAGAACTGATGGTTCAGGAAAGCAGGAAGCCATGCTCTGACAACATTGATAATTCAGACAAACAACAGAGCCTAGTACCATTTAGGCTTTAAGCAGCAGTCCTCTCACAAGTAATTTCAGCAGATAGACCTTGAAACACATTCATTCAAGAATTCAGAGACCTTGGGAAGAGGTCCCAAGTCTTAAAGTTGCCAAGGTTGAGGACCCCCTGGTTTAGAGCAAGTACAAATCCATATAGATTAGGAATATTACATTACATTAGTAGTTGTAGCTAGGGGTATTTAACCTAGAGAAGTATATATTGAAGACTGCATGATACAGTAGTCCTAAGTCCTTTTCTTTTATAATCCTGGCTTGTGCTGCTGCTAACATTTGGAGGCAAAGTATCTACATACTTGAGCTGGCCTTTCCTTGCTATTCCATATGAAATACGGAGAAAAAAATGGTGTAATTTTTTTAAAACTATAATCCTCCTAAAACAGTGCCTACAAACCAGGAACATCTACTAATATGACATCAAAATATCATTGTTTCGTCTCTACTATAAAGCTGGATGTGAAAAAAAAATTAAAAAGTGCAACTTGTGGTAGCTTAAAAAATTGTTCAAACTATTACCTTTGATTCAGTCTGTTTCTTTTTTCCATTTGGAAAAGAATCTTATAAAAATAATATCTATAATAATTGTCTTATTTTTGGTCATCCTACACACTAGCGTTTCATGGTGGTCACAGTCCCTTGTCACTGTTACATAGCATCAATAATGTTTAAAAATTACGATGTAAAATTATACACATCAGTACAATACCTCCTTGATCTGTGACTGAGCTATATTTCATTTTAAAGTCTGAAATTAATGTATCCATCTATATCTACAACTGTACATGTATAGTCAATGTACATGGGCTTATCTGGGATGTTAAGTCTTCTCGCAGGCTGCTCACTCATATGCATGTAGTTTTTGGTAGACTTAAAATAGCCACCTGAATAGAAACTGGAGTTTGGAATAACCAGATTCATTTATTTTTCCTGTCTGTCTGTTCTTAAAAAAAACCCGCTAACTTGGAGCCATTGCAATTGCATTAGTGATCCTTGACTTTACTCTTGGGTTTTCATTTCTTATTCTTTTTATTTTAGAAAAAAAATTCCAATGGTTCTATTCCTGGTGTATAGTACCACAGTATGATTAGAATGCTACCTACGTCCCTGAAGAGCAATTAACGTAAATAATATAAGGCAGGTTTCTATGTACCCTGAAACTGTGTTTTCATACTGACTTTGGTTTACAACTATCCAGAATTCAAGTGGATCTTAAATAGTAAAAAAACTTGAGGAAGCATCAATAAAGAAGCAAGGTTTTGATAATACTTATTAGATGAAAAATATGAATACATACAATGGAATCTCAGTCAGAATTCTCAGAAGGAAGGAAGGGAGGGAGGGAGGGAAAGAAGGAAGGAAGGAAGGAAAGAAGGAAGGAAAAGTAATATATGGAGAATAGGAAGCAATAAATGATACATGATGAAAATGAAAGCATCTACTTGGAAGAATTTTCTCTGATGCATAACCTTTAGTAGCTGCATAAGACATTTTACACATAGAATTCTTATTTGCTTTGCTTCAGTTAATAAGTTGTATTGTAGGAAGATTGAAATCGTTCTCTTTGTTGTTATCTGAAAGTATAGGAAAAAAACTATATCATAAAAGAAAAACAAGGAAGAACTGTAAATTTGGATTTGTATGAAATATAAGGCCATAGTGTATGGTACAAGCTGTGATATGCCCTGTGTGTCATCACATCACTACCCAAATTATATACAGGTAGTTCTCGACTTAACGATCACAATTGAGCGCAACATTTCTGTTGCTAAGTGGGACATTTGTTAAGTGAATTTTGCCCCATTTTACGACCTTACTTGCCACAGTTGTCAGGTGAATTCCTCAGTTGTTAAATAGTAACACAGTTGTTAAGTGAATGGCGGTCACATGACATTGCAACCGTCATAAATAAGAGTCAGTTTCTAAATGTCTGAATTTTGATCATGTCACCACGAGGATGCTTCAACAGTCATAAATGTGAAAAACAGTCATAAGTCCCTTTTTCCAGTGCCGTTGTAACTTCGAAGAAACTGTTGTAAGTCGAGGACTGCCTGTAACATGGTGACAGAATGATGCACACAACATCACTTGTCCCTTTTTGTCTCCCTGTTGAGAGCCATGCATAAGACAACATTTTTCTCCCCATACAAAGAAGACCAGGCCTTGCCATGTAAACATGGGTATTATGTCTCATTATGATACGAAAGAGTAACATGATAATAATATAGTAAAAATATTGATGAATAATAATGTAATGATATTTATCTATCACAAAGCTGATTAAATATTTCTCAACTAGCCACAAAGGTTAGTACAGGTTGTTCTCATTTACTGACTGCTGTGTTTATCAACTGTTTGCAGTTGCAACAATGATGAAAAGGTAACTTTATGACCAATCCTCACATTTATGACCTTTACAAGTCTATAAAGGAAAGGAAAGCTAAAGTAAGATCATAAGCACAGTCATTGGTTTTACTTAGTGACCGCTTATTTTAATAGGTTGCCAGTCCCAACTGTGGTTGCTAAATGAGAACTACTTCTAGTGTACAACTCTCATACAAAAATGAATGTGGTGAAGATTTTAGCAACACTTATAAAGGGTGAAATTTATGGAAGATTGAGATTATTTTTCAGGAAACATGCATAGCGCTGCATTATCAACAAGTTGCAAAATGCTGGTTTGTATTATCATTGGTACAGTGTCCTATATTTTCCTATTGAATAAACAATCTGTAAATTGTTACAAAATATCAGTAACCATGTTAATAAATAATATAAATAATATTTCATAAGATATACTTTTCTACTTTCAAAATGATATTAATCAACAGACGCGGTAAATCAGTTGCTATTCTGTAGTTGATAAAGTATGTGAAATGAATACTCTTCTTAACAGTTGCAACAAACATTAGAAAGTTACCTGAATTCTCCTTACTGGTAAAATCAGTGTCTTTTCTTGTTGCAGAAATCTTTCCCTGTTGCATTCCTGTTTTAAGTTTAGGATTACAGGGTTCTAGATTGATAATTACACTGTCCAATTCTGCTTTTTGTATTCAATCCAGACAGACAGAATAATTAGCAGGATTTTTGCATAAACCGATCAAATAAAAATTACAATGTGATATATATATATATCTGCATTAACAAGCTATAGCTTCCTTATGCTTTGAACTTTGTGCCATACTTCGAGCTTCGTTATTTATCATTTGCTTTTTTTTCTTCTTAATTTAATGCACTGCATCTCACAAGTTGCATCTCACGAGAAGTCATGTTTTATATAGCTGTGCTCATGCTTTTTTTATATAATGTTTCAGCTCATCCACCATATACCATGTGCTTTAGAGTGAAATTCTACCCGCATGAACCCCTGAAGATTAAGGAAGAGCTCACCAGGTATTTTTGTCCTGTCCATGCATTTAGTGCTTTAGTAAACTTTTGTGCTTTTGCTGGCTTTTAATTTTATACATATTTTCTAGGATTTAAAGAACGGTTTATGAAATTAATTAATAGTATATGTGTCGCACGTAGACATGTTAGATATTAGAGCTACCTTAAAATATTAAGATAATAATTTAATTATCAGTGCCTATATTAGGCACATTCTAATTTAAAATACAGTCTGTAAACTTTTGAGTGATTCAGTTTACTGTCAGGTAAGATATAAACAAAGCTGTTACTGCCTTTATTTTTAAATGGAATGTGCATATTACTTGATAATTGGTGAAAAAAACTAAATGGAAGGAAATTTGATTGCTGTTGTATTAACAAAGAGTAATAGAACTGTAAATGTGCTGATATTGAGCATTACATATGTAGAATTGTGCAAAGTATTAGAAAGAAGGGCTTTGTAAAGCTTATAGGTATGAAAGAAGTACTCTTCCTTAAAGTATTAAAGCAGCTACATCCTTTGGAAGCTTGTGCAGCTTGTTCAAAGGCTGTTCCTGTGTGCATGCACAACCATTTCATCTTGCTAGGAGTTTTGGAAGAAGAGTTATCTGCACAAGTAGACAACTGGGAACAGATTTAGCACTTTGAGAACGGGTGTTTTGCCCAGGCTGACAATTCCACAGAAAAGGCTGTGTTTTGGGGAGCCAAAACTCATGGCAGGAAATCTGGTCTCAAAGTGCCTTGAATTAATGCTTAAAATTCTAGTAGAGGATCTAGTATCTCATCCTGTACACCTGCATAATGAAATAATTTGCTATTTTAGATGAATGATCTCATGAACTATTCACACATAGGAAATCCTGAACTTTTGTAATTTTGTACAATAGCAATATTAGAACTACATGAACAAATAATTAAGCCAGTAAAGTATCTGCTCTGAACAGAATTAGATGGGGAAAACATCATTTAGATAAGGAGAGATTAACAATAGGTTCTAAAGAAATGCATTGCTCTAAGACAGGGCTTTTCAACCTTTTCACCCGTTGTACCACTTTTAGGATATGGCAACATCCGAGTACCACCAGTCGCCCAGCAAGGTGTCAAAAACTTGATGACCAAAAAAAAAAAAAAAAGGAAAAAAGTGATAAAGTACTGGTAGTCCTCGAATTACAACAGTTCACTTAGTGACTGTTCAAAGTTACAATCGCACTGAAAAAAGTGCCCCACAAGCCACAGCCGAGCAAGACAGCGCCCGGCGGCGCTCTTCCTCCTATCCAAGGTTTTCATTGTTGTGAGCATTTCTGTTGAGGATTGGCAGTGGGGGTGGGGTGGGGGGTGTTTGGTTTTTATTCCCCCGTCTGCTGGGTGGTTGCAGCAGGTTTCGGTCACTTCACATGACCCTGGGACACTGTGACCCTCATAAATATGAATCAGTTGCCAAGCATTTGAATGTAAATCACAAGACCCTGGAGATACTGCAATATTCCAGCTGATTGGCGCTTCTGAGCTCAGCAGAAGTGTCAGGATCAGTGCCGAGCTCCAGTTGGAGCCTGGCACTGATCCTGGCGCTTCCACTGAGCCCTGGCAGCCTTGAAGAAACGCCAATCAGCTGGAAAGCGGCACTGATCCTGGCGCTTCCGCTCAGGCTTGTGCGATGCTGCCACCGGTTCAGCTCATTCCCCTCCCCCGCTACTTTTCTAGGATGGTCGCATACCACCTGCCAGGTGCAATGTACCACAAGTGGTACCCGTACCACTGGTTGAAAAGCCCTGCTCTAAGAAATACTGATCTGCATTAAAGAAATGAAATATAAACTGTTTTTATATTTTTGGGAAATAAAAAATAAAAATAATATGTCATGAAACAATGAAATCATAACTACTATCTCATCCCCATGGAACCTGTATTACATAGGTTTCATATATTCTATGATAAATTATTTCAGAGAGGTTTGGAAGTACTGGTAGGACAATATAGGATCCCAAAGGAGATACACATAATCTTCATCATCAATCATTCTATATTCTAAGAAAAGCTTAATTAATTTTTTTTCTGACATTTGAACAGCAGACATACAATTTTTTTTTGCTACCGGAAACATGACGTTTTAAATCCTAATCAAATTAAATTTACAGGTTTTAGACGGTGTCCTACAGACATCATATCTGCCAAATTTCAGGGAGATAGACAGAATATTTGTATTTAAAAGGCAACTTCTCTGTTTAGGAAGGCATAACTTCATCAGCTTTTCACAAGACTTACAAACTTTTTAAAAGACTGATCTTTTTAAATAGTGCTTTTTAGATCATTTTAAACCAGAAATCCTAGATCAATCTTGTAGGGGGTTAAATTAGTATGGCAGCTTTGATCTGTACTTTAATTCCAAATAGATATAAACTGTGGAATTTTGACATGACTCTTTCAGAGATTCTAGAAATTACTCTGAAAAGTTTTTAAATTAATGTAGAGTGGGTACCAAAAATGATGATAAATTTGCTATAACTAAAAGCTCTGATGAGGTCAATAAATACTGCGTTATCACCATTGTCTTGACCAGGGGTAGTCAACCTTGGCTCTGTTATGACTCGTGGACTTCAATTCCCAGAATTCCTGAGCCAGCTGGCTTAGCTGGCTCAGGAATTCTGGGAGTTGAAGTCCACGAGTCATAAAAGAGCCAAGGTTGACTACCCCTGGTCTTGACTCTTCTCTCTGGGTACCTATAGTAACAGCAAATATTACATTTTGTGAAAAGTTCTCTTCATCTACAAATTTTGCTTTTCAAACAGGATGGAAGGGGGGGGGGGTTATGAGTTGGTTATTGTGTCAGAATATCAAGCGGGCATTAGATATGAATGAAAAAGAAATGTCTTGTCTTATCATTTTCATCTCTTCTCTCCATGAACTTTTGAAACTTGATTTTCAAATTTTTCAGTTGGCAAGAATGCAGTGTAATATATTGCAATGCCAATCAGTAATTCAACCCAAAAAGTCATGAAGAGAAATAAATACATACAGCTTTTGAAATGATCTTTAAATGAAAATGTAAAACGTTCTTCAAATAAGCTATTTCTTCAAACAAGCATCACTATAACTTCAAAGGAGATGTTGCTGTTTCCATTCTCTTTTGTTTGAAAAAAAATACTTTGACATCCCCAAAGACAATCTCTGTCAAAAGCATGTTATTTTATTTTGACAGCATATTGTGAATAAATAATATCTGCTGTTCGCTGACAATGCTAAGGAAGTATATTTCCTTCTATGGTTTTGTAAAGAATTTTCACAGATATAATTTAATACATTTGGGGAAAATAAATCATCGTCACAAAATATAAAAGCAAATGTATTCTCACTTTAAATTCCATTTGCATTTAGAATTGATAGGAAAAAGTAAAGTCCTTCTAGTTTAACTTCTTATTGGGGGGGATTTAGTGTTTGTAGCAATAATTCTTTATTGACCTTCTTATTTTATTTTGTTCCTAAAATATGTTAGGCTGAGATGTAAATTGGTGAAACCAATCTGAAACTATTAATTTCAGAACTGCTGACAAATATATATATATATATTTCCACACAAAGCTAGAATAATTCAGGGAATATGGTCCTCATACAATGTATTTGCATTTTTGTTTAAGCATATATATAAGGAATTATTTCCTTCTACCATAGTAATCTTAATGGATTTGTTCAAAAACTAATTTTAGAGTGAAGAGACTCAAAAATGTCCTCCAAAGTCATCCAGTTTTGTGTTATCTTATGCACAATATGCCATAGTTAGGTTTGTTATTTCTTATAAATAGTATTTTGATGTTAGTATTTTTGACCTGAATTATTTTTAGATCCTATTATACTGATTGTTATTGTTCATCAGATAGACAGACAGACACAAAATACTTCTATTATTAGATATTTTGATTGATTCAGGACTTAGGCTGTAATAAAATTTATTGATTGATTGAGACTGAAGAGAAAAATATATAATTATTAATCAAAGTAATTATTAATCCAACTCTATCCTTTTTTCTGTTATAAAAATTAAAAGTTGGTCTGCAATTTTAAAATTAGTATATTTAAAGGGTTTTAGAATGTGTACATGTGTACTGGGGGAATCCTGAAAAACAGCACATAAACTCATCAAACGCATCATGTTAAGCCTGGCAAATCCATACTATAATTATATAGTAAAGTTAATTTATCTATTCCTATACCATTTACAGGTTGTCCTTGACTTACAACCACAATTGGGACTGGGATTGCAGTCGTAACTCAGGGCTGTCTTAAAGCAAGAAACTGTACTGATTTACAACAACAATCCCGGTGTTCCCCATTGCAGTTGTCACCAGAGAATCATGGGTCATTAAATGAGTACCCATCCTAATTCAAGCCATTCCAGATTTGGTCCCTTCCCAAGCCTCATTAAAGTAAGGGACTACCTCCAATTTCCCCCCACCTCTCTCCCCCATCTACACCCTTTTAGCCATCCTGCACCCTGCCTTGTGTGGCTCTGGGGCTACTTGCCACTGTCTGGGAAACCTCGCCTACCCCAACAAGCCCAATAATCATTTGCCCTACTGTCTTCTCTTCCCCAGAATCATGTGGTTCCTCATGCTTAGCAAATATCAACAAGCATTAATTTGCTCCCAGTCCAACCCAATTCACCAGCAAGCACGACCAAGTATTTGTTTGCCCAGCTACCTTGTCTCCTAATTCCTTGCACAGACTTTTCACCTTTTGCTGTTTCCTTTCCTGACCCAGCTTCTCTGGAGAATGTTTCTGGCAGCACACATGGCTCCCTGAGCCTTTGTAAAGCTGTGCTGTCTTCCTAACACTCTACTAACTTTCCAAAGGTCTTCCAATTCAATAAAGGGAAGTTCACCCTGTCTTTAATTCACTGGTTCCACTCTTGAACTGCTCTTGTTATTAGGAAGTGGGCATACGTTGATGAGTTAAACGCTAGCAACAGCTCCAACTTATCTCAAAGCAACCATAGAAATATGTGCCCTTGAACAGACAATCCTAATGGGCAGAAGACATGTAGAGTTAGTTGCTTTTGAATTAACAACAGCCTTGGGAAGGATGATTTATGGCTTGTAAAGCATTTCTGACCATTGCAAAACTCACACACTCCCATGGACATGTGATTGCAGTTCTGAGGGCTTGGCAACCTGTTCACACTTACAGGCAGTTACCAAATGCCCGGCAATCATGCGATTGCCATTTGTAATTTTCCCTAGAAAGTCAGCAAAGAAAATTGCAAGCTGTTGTCACCTGTTGTGAGGACTCCCTCATAGGGAGAGAAGATATGGGGAGGCAGGGAGACAAGGATTTATTCATTTTATATCATCTTTATTATTTTTACAAATAAGGTAGCAAATATATCCAATATATCTTCTTCCTGGTATTTTCCCCACAATAACAATCCTGGGAGGTGAATTGGGCTAAGGTCACTCAGCTGGCTTCCATGGCTAAGATAGGACCAGAACTTACAGTCTTCTGCTTTCTAGCCTAGTGCCTTAACCACTGGACCAAACGTAGCATACTAAAATACTTGTTCCCTGCTTCTCTGTGCCTTATCTCCTTGCTTCTCCATGTCTGAAGCTCTGCAGGCTCAGAGAGGCAGGAAGAGAAGGATTTTAGCTCTGTGCGTTTGCTTAAACATCTGTAAGATTGCTTAACGACTGCAACTGGGAATGCTGGGATCATGGTCATTGACTGAAGCGGTCACCTGATATCTAGCTTAACTACTGCTTTGTTCAATGACTGTTATATTTTCAGTTGTGGTTGTTAAGCAAGCTGTGCTTAATCCTTTCCCTTGCCACTACTTCAGTAAATAATCTTGTCTCCGACTGCTTTTTCTAACTGCCAGAGGCAAAATGCAGCTACCCATATCCTTTCTCTTCTGATTCCAAATAATAGCCCAAGGGAGAAAGAATAAGCACTCCTTTTCTCACTATTCCTCTATTCAAAATATCAGCCTTCTATAACTGGACATATTGAGCAACCATAAGGTTATTTCTTCTTGCAAATTGAACTGCATAATACCCCTCTATTTAAAAAACTATTTTAGAAAACACAATTTGAGTGCATAGACAGAAATAGAAGGTATACATTCCTTAGTGTTTTCCCATAGTGACAATACCATGCTGTATAGGGTTTTTGTTTTTAAAAAAGAATAAATTGTAATACATGTTATAAGCCAGACATTGTAACTCAATGTAATGCTTCTATTTTTCTTTCTTTATTGGAAATATAGTATGATAAGTAGGGAAGTGATTCTCTCTCTCTCTCTCTCTCTCTCTCTCTCCCTCTCTCCCTCCCCCCCCCTCTCAAATTTCCTTTTCTGAATTGCTTTACAGATTGCAATTCAGACTTTCCTAATCAACTGCCTTCTAGATATGTTGCTGTTCTCATTGTGGCATTTTCACCCAATATCTGATAATGAGTAAACTAGAATTATTGAGAGAGGAGGGGAGAAAATAAAAACAGAAATCTTTTCCCTTACAAAATGCAGGTACCTTTTATACCTCCAAATCAAAAGAGATATTTTCCATGGCCGTTTGCTGTGTGGGTTTTCTGATGCTGCTTACCTGGGAGCGTGCATTATTCAAGGTAAGTGAAATGATTGTACTCTGCTACTTTTACTTCACGGCATTATAATAGCACGGTTTTAAAATTGATAGTGTTATATCCAAGATAGATGAATTATACTTTAGTCTGGATTTTGTCCACTTATAAGTAGGTATGTAAGTTAGACAATAGGCTGTGGCTTTCCACTGCTTCTAGTCTACTGCTTCTACTGTTGCATATTCCTGCCTTCCATTCACATTCCCACGGTATTTTGAAATAAAGGATGAAAACATATATTTTTTCTTCACTGTATAGGAGAATGATATTGTTGACACAGGTAATGCTGCTGATCCTTTCATGCTGTCTCAGTAAAAAGCTACATATTTGTAGGGCTACACAGATCATTGGATTGAGGTGCTCATTGCTCCTCTCTTTGAATTGTCTTTTGTAAGGCCTGCGTGGTAGTTTCAAAAACTAGATATTTGGCAGGTATGTACACTTTGAGAAGAAAGTGAAGCAAAGTGGCTATGCACATACATGTGTGGGGAAACAATTAAGAAAAACCTTTGAGGAAGCTACTACTTTCACTATTCATTTAGCCAGGGGTCTTCAAACGTGGCCCTTTTATGACTTGTGGACTTCAACTCCCAGAATTCCTCAGCCAGTGTGCCTGGCTGAGGAATTCTGGGAGTTGAAGTCCACAAGTCATAAAAGGGCCAAGTTTGAAGACCCCTGACCTAAGCCCTTGCATGTTATGGAACACCTCATTTCAATGTATTGCAGAGCCACGACAGGTGGTCAGTTTTGTGATGATTATATTATCTTTATGTTTATTGGTCAGATATTTTATTTAGTTAGCGTTGGATTTTTTTCTGGTTGAGAATTGAAACCTTTGCCCCCATTTTTCTGTTTCCTTAAGCAGCTAAAAGAACTATAGTTTTATTGTGTGTTTTAAATTAGGAAATCACCTAATGAGATTTAATAATACATAAGATTGAATAAAGTGCCTCAAATAAAACAAATTTCTTGTTAAAATCTGAATGGCATGCTTGCTGCTTAATAATAAATAAAATATGATTCCTTGTTTAATTTCCTTGCTATGTTTTACTATAAAATTTGACTAATTAGTATGTTTGCTTTATTTATAAAATGTAAATGACCTGCAGCACTGCTGTTTCCAAAGCAGTTACCACAGCTTGAAACAATAGGGACAAATAACAATGCCAAACTAGTAAACAGGAAAAAAACCCATATAATTATAAACTTATTACAACAGAATAGATTGAGAAAGATATTTGCTTGGTACTGAAAATAGTTGAAAACCTGAGGAAAGTATTTTAAAGATGAGAGCCTACAATCAATGGATCCTTTTCCTTAGAGGCCATTGGCATAGATAATGTAGGGCAGGCATGTCAAACTGCCGTCCGGCGGGCCGGATGCATCACGCCGAAACCGCCCCCACCCCTTTGCCGGCAATGGGGAAAAAGTCACGATATATCGCGCGACGTCATGTGACATCGCGAGTTTGACATGCCTGATGTAGGGGAACCTGGAGAAGAATTACAAAATTGACTTTCCTATATAAATACCTTTCAATTGGAAAAAAATGATATTTCAGAAATCAACATCTCAAAGGTGAATATAAAAACTTTAAAGATAAGTATCAGAGCTTCGGGATTGTGCAATGAAACCCATTTATATGTGAACTGTAAATAGTGCATTCCCAGTGTTGAAATTCTCATTTGGTAAGAATGTATTTGGTGTTTCTTCTCTGTTTTTCTTTTTCCTGTACAGCTGAACTAGGTGATTATGATTCTGATGAACATGTGGATAATTACGTCAGTGAATTTAAGATCTTCCCTAAACAATCTCAAAAGCTGGAAAGAAAAATTGGTGAAATACATAAAAATGAATTCAGGTAATTGAGATTGCCATTTAAGGAAGTTACTTAGTTATTTTTAGTGAATCTACAGGAAAATTTATTTTCCCTTGGATTTGCTGCTTACCTATAGGTGCAGTAAAATTAATATAGTCAAGATGTTAATGGGTTAAGATGTTAAGTGTAGTATGATATTTTAAAAACGACTACATTATATAGACATGATACAATACAAAAGTAAGGTTACCCAAACTCATTTGTTTCAGTAGAGTTGGGATTTTGTGGCTTTCCAGATGTTTTTGAATTATAACTTCAGGTTCTTTTAATTTGGTGATGATGGATGGGATTGCTGGGAATTTTAATTCAGGCACTGCTAATTCTATATCCTTATTTATGTGCTCTGGATGGCTGTTGTGATACTGCTAATGCTTTTACTATCTAAAGATTCTTTTTTCCTTTTTGAATTTTATCTGCAGTGTTAATCATAAGAATAAAACTTTTCTCCTCCTACTATGTATGAAGCAGTGGGGCAGTCTCAGTTGCTGTCATTAGGCAAATTCCACATGGTTGCAGTGTCCCAAGGTCACATGATCACCATTTATAACGCCAGATTCCCATTGACTTTGTCAGAAGCTGGCAATGAAGGTCCCAGTGACAATTAGGTGACTATTGCAATGTCGAAATAGTGAGCTGTTTGCCAAGCACCTGAATTGTTTATAAAACTGAATATTAAAGGCATGCATTAATAATAATTTGAATCCAATTTTCAAAATCAATATTGTTTGATTATTAATAAATTATCTTTCCATGTTTGAAAGTGTATGAAGGTATTAGTATTTTTTTAAGATGACAGTGGAAAATCTGAAAAGTATCTTTGCTTTTACGTTGGCCAGATTTTTATTCTATGCTATTCATTCGATGATTAATTCTGACTCTGAAAAATAGGAACATTTTCTGTAGTGTTTTTATTTCTACAAGAAGAACTTTCCAATTTGTCACTAACACAAAGGTGAGAAAATTGTCCTTCAGTCTGATAAAATACTGCTAATTTACAATTGTATAATTAGACCTTTTTATATATAACTGCTTCAAGATGCCATAATTTTGGTTGTTGAAACATTATGCTGCTATTGAAAAAAAGATTTCAGTAAAAGTTTATTGTGTCACAAAGAGATATGTAATATAAACAGTGCCGTTTAGAAGATCTGCTGTTTAAACAGGCTAAATTGTCCTCTTTTGATTCAATTTTTGCTTCCCATTCTTCTACTTTGATCCTTGTTTCTTCTACATTTGTTTTAATTATATGTGTAGGACTAGTATTTTATTTGTTACAATCAAAGTATATATAAATTGCCAAACATCTTAGTGCACGTACATTGATTTTATTTCATCTATATTTTAATGATATTTTCTAACATCTTGCTTGATTCTTCAGTCTGGTTAGTCTGTGATTGAACTGTAGCTACCAGACTGAACTGTAAAAATGTGGACATCCACTAGAGAGCAAAAACAGAGAAAACTCTCTTTGCTGCCATCTAACAATCGTGGAGATTTTTTGCAGTCCAGATGTAGTGATGCCTAAATATGCTTGGGATTAAAGCACGTTGAGTACAAAAAGCTGCTAGCATTAATTGTTACAGTATTTACTTTACTGCACTTTATACTACAGTAAGTAAATTAGTTTCTTATCCCATGTAAACAGAACAAAAACTTCTTGCTTTGTCAAACTTCTTCATAAAAATTAATTAAATACCAGCCATAATCTGTACAGATGCTACCATCTCTTAAGAAGGCAGTTCCATTTTTTCAATCAGAAGCTACAGAGAGGGTATAGGAAATGCTTTGTTGGCACACATTTCGTGACTTCAAGAATTCAACATGATTTAGACTCTTGGGATGGAATAGGATTTGAACACGTGTGGCTGATTTCCTTAAGTAAAAGCTTCTTGGAAGATATGCCTGGGGAGAAAAGTATTTGGGAGGAAATTGCCCTCCCACTCTGAGGTAGATTCACCTTGGAAGCAAGATGAAAAGTATCAGCCTGGTATTGCAAAGAGATAGTTGGATGTGTATGAAGGAAGATGGACTGACAGTAAGTTCCTGTTTGAAGTAAGATCCTTGGACATCAGAATCTGAGATAATGCTATAGTCAATGGAATACGTCTACTGTGAAACTACCAAATTACCAAATGTTGCATGTAACTGAAGCTCTCAAAACATAATGAATCCTATCTTAATTGGATCCATCTGAATGGCTTTCAACAACATACAGTACAGTATGTTTTGCACTCAGGAAATCAAAGGTGATGCCACACTATGTGCTTTATTAATCTGTGTCTATTCCCAAGATTATTGAAAAATGTGGAGATGAAGTAAACATATAGGGACTCTTGGTGACTGGCAGTAGTGGAGATTGACCCTGAGCAAAAGAGATTAATTCTGATATTCACAATTTATTTTGTATGTATCAGTACATCTTTGGACCATCTGAGTGTGTGATGTTGCTTGTGTTGCCAGAATGTACATAAGCTTGCAGTTATTGTTCAAAAATTGTCTGTGTCTGCAGGGTAACAGAAATAATTAAATGCTGATAGTAGCTCTGCATGTCTGGACTTAATTTCTGGTTGCCCCAACTTTTGAATCCTTAGGGCTGGGACTGCCATATTTGCCAGTAAGCCAGATCTTGGATGATTAATGTATCTGCTTGCAAAGTACCCCTTTTTCTCACTTAGACCACACTGGTTGATCCTTTAGAAAGGAGGTGGTGGCTTTAGTAGGCAGTGCTCAGTGGCCAGGTTTTTCGCAATTTACTTTGTATGCATTGACACAAGGTTTTTTTTTATAGCAGAGTGGTTGCTTCTGGTTGCACAGATTTAACATCTGAAATCTTGGATATGTGGGTAAATGAGGGAACAAAAGAGGACAACGTTGTATTTCTGTACCATCCATCCAGTGGTGGAATTCAAATATGTGAACAACCAGTTCTCTGTGTGGATGCCGCTTCCAGAACTCTGTTCTGGGCCTGGGCAACAAAAAATTAGCTACCGGTTCTGCCGAACTGGTGCGAACTGGCTGAATCCTACCACTGCACCCTTCCCGTTCTTCAATTTTATTAATCTTTCATCAATACTCAAGCCAACCTGGATTATAAGACTGACATAAACTGTGGAATGCTCTGATGAATGGATTTGCCACATATTTTATCTGCTATTCCCTCTTCAAGGGCTGTTCAGTTGAATATCTTTTGTTCTGAGCTATATCCAGGGATAACACCAGAAAATGAGAAGCACGGTTCCTACACTGAAATGTACAATTGGAATTGAGAGATTACAACTTTGAAGTTAGCCTCCAGGTGTGTCGCCAAATTGGTTTCTTTGTCCAGGTTGTTTATTTATAGGATATGTGTTTGTGTGATTACATGCATGCATAGGTAGGTAGGCAGGCAGATAGGAAAATGAGGTGGACCATTAGAAGGCTAACATATTTTAATCAAATATAAACTAAATGTATTTTCATATTTTCCTATTTATTTCAAGGGCAGGAAAAGATTAACTTAATCTGAGAAATTTTTCTCAAGGAATTTAGGAAGTAAATGGATAGAAATCAAGATTGATACTTGTCCCCTATTATGTTCGAACTGCTTATACTGTATATATTAAAAGATAGAAAATAGTTGAATGATACTCGATAGCCCCTGATTAACTGCACGTCTCACTGGAGCCCTGCAATATGTCAACAGGAGCTAGGCTTAATCCAAAGGAATCAATTTCTGTGGCAGAGTATCAGCAGAATCACATGAAAGTTTCTTATTTCCTATTTAGCCAATATTATTGGTTTAAACTGTTCATAGTTTATCACAAACTATTTCTCTTTTCATGATTTCTAGGGGCCAGAGTCCAGCTGTTGCTGAATTTAATTTATTATTAAGAGCACATTCATTAGAAACCTATGGTGTTGATCCTCATCCTTGCAAGGTAGAAAAGATCTAGACATTTTAAAAAAATGATGTATTTTTTGTTTTCAAAATTGGGTAAATGTCTCTTCTACATGTTTCAGCTTATACAGTTTATAGTTTATTCAATTTATTCAGGATACCGTGTTTCCCCCAAAATAAGATCCAGTCTTATATTTTTTTTAGCTCCAAAAGAGGCAGTAGGTCTTATTTTTGGGGATGTCTTATTTTTTCCACTGTCTTGCCTCGTGGTGGCGTCATCAACAGCCCCATCCAGCAAGAGCCTGTGTGGCCACTGCTGATCCACTTTTTCTGAGGCCACTTGCCTCTGTTTGTGTGCATCGCCCCCTAGTTGATGCATGCGTCGCCCCCGGCCTCCGTTTTGCTAGTAGAGGCCTTCAGGAAAAGGCCTCAGGAGCCGAGAATGGAGCCCTGGACAAAGCGAGAGGCAGCCAGTGACCACAGAAAAAGTGGCCTGGCGGCGGCTATGCAAACTCCTATTAGGCGGGGCTGTCAGTGCCGCCACTGCGAGGCGAGGCAGGTGTCGGGGTGTAGGAGGCCTGGCTGAGGGGACTCTGAGAAGCAGGTGTGGGGTGTGTGAGGCAGCTCCACCCCCTCCCCAACCTGCCTCGTATCACCTCATGGCTGCGGCACCACGAACAACCAGACGGAATGGGTGGGCTGTCAGCTGCGCAGGCTCTAAAATAGGGCTTATTTTGAGGGTAGGGCTTATATTAGGCCCACCCCCAAAAAAACCCGGCAAGGGCTTATTTTGGGGTGGGTCTTATTTTTGGGGAAACACGGTAGATAGACAGACAGACAGGCAGTTCTAGTGGGGTTTATTGTGCAATTTTTATAACTACAAGAAACTGGATATATACATTTAATAAAATGAGAGAAATTATGTAGGAAAATTGATATTACTTTCATTTGTAAGTTTAAATTTTTTCAAGTATTTTATATTGCTTTAAAGGCAAACTCAAAAAGCAGTTTTGCTGCAAAGTAGATATTTGGTTCTGTACAAAAGCAATTGTCATACATAAAGTTCTATATCAGAATTTCGCATATCTTATTTCAATGCTAAGTTGATCTTATTCCAATAATATACAGTAGCATCAGATATTGTTATATCAGTGTTTTCTATAGATATCAAGTTGTTTGATGGTGTTCGAGACTGCACTTTAAAAACTCTGTATAATTTTATAGTAATTGTGCTTTAGAAGATGGTTAGAAATTTATAGTGGGAAAGATACACATAACTGCTTTCATGCCAATGAATCCCCTACAAGTATTTCCTTTATCATTTAAAAATCTTCCAACATGTTTGGCTTTGTAAGTGGAAATGCCTTCATGGAAGGAGATATTGTATTGTAAAAGTATACATTTCTGGAATGTTTGCACTTTCCCATAATTCTAATTAATATTCTTTTTTTTCCTTAAAAGGATTCAACTGGGACCACAACATTTTTAGGATTCACAGCCACAGGTTTTGTGGTTTTCCAGGGAAATAAAAGGATACATTTGCTAAAATGGTAAGAATCTGAATGTTTTTTTTAATAGAATACAGAGAAAACTTTACTTGAGACATTGTTTGCAAGTACACTTGACAAGGGGATGGGATATCTTGAGAGCATTTTGGGCAAATTCGCTGCATCTATATAATGTACTGTTTAATTAATCCTTTGATTTATTCCTAAACAGCCCCAGGTTTGTCTGAGATAAAATCCTCCTGGTCAGTTATTTAAATTTGACTATAGCAGTGATGGCGAACCTTTTAGAGACTGAGTGCCCAAACTGCAACCCAAAACCCACTTATGCATCATCGGGTGCCCATTGGGTGGGCGTGGCTGCGGTGGTAACGGCAGACTGGGTGAGACTAAAAAGTTCAATCAATCAATTCCAGCTTTGCAAGATCTTTTTTTTCCCGCGAGAAGTTGAAATTGACTGATTGATTGAACCTTTTTTTTTGTACATGGCGGCGGAGACCTAAAGCGAAAAGGTTTTATAACCCAGCTGAAGGCTTAGGACTGGGGCGACAGCGCGCGTGCCCACAGAGAGGGCTCTGAGTGCTGCCTCTGGCACCTGTGCCATAGGTTTGCCACCACTGGACTATAGCATGCCAGATTCAGTCATCTTGTGACCTGGCCTGCCAGGAAACAAAAGTGAGTCCCTTGATTAGGAAGAGGGAATGAGGAGTCATTTGAGTTGTCTGAATATAGCCAAAAAACCCACAAAAAACTAAAGTCATAAACTTTGGCAGTATTAAATATTGAAATATTAAAACCTCTTCTTCTGTATCCAATGGTTTGTAATTCAAATGTTTTAGAAACTAGTCAGGAATAAGAGTAAATTTGAAATTGGTGGAGGGTTTTTTTAGAAATTTTGCTCCAGATACGTCATCTGTGGGAACAATTGAATAATTTTTGCACAAAGTAAATTATAAGTACAGAGATCCAAACTGAAGTCTGTAATAACATGGTTAAGAAGTGAATAAGTCATTTCTAGCAGCTTCTTTTTGTCTTCCATATATTTACATAGAAGTGTCAGCTGCAGTTTGTTTTCCTAATTTAAAAAAGCTTTTTTTGTTATAGGTCTGATGTCTGTAAACTGAAGTTTGAAGGGAAGACATTTTATGTGATTGCAATTCAGAAGGAGGTTAGAAATTTTGTTTCTTACATTCTGAAATAGTTTAGTTTTAAAATTAAGTATTTCTCATAAAAATGAAATATGTTTATTCTTGCTCTTACAAAGTAACTTTCTGTCTTAACTATTTGAATAGACTAGTTATGCTACTATATGAGTGAGTACTGGCAAAAAGTCCTAACCAAAAATGCATGTGATAGAGATCGATTATATAGACAAGTACACAGATAGATGGATGTCTGTGTATAATAAGAAAGGATTGTGTGTGTATGTAATTATATATAATTAACATAATCTAACATGTTAATATATTTTATTTGGTTTACACTCTAAATTAAAAATAATTGGAAACAAATTTCCAGAACAGAAGTCATACTACAAATATTAATTTTGCAAATTTGTTTTTGGTTTGTTTTTTAAACCAAGATTCCCCAACTATATATTTAATATACCATCTAATGCAGAGGTCCTCAACCTTTTGGGCACCAGGGACCGGTTATGTGGAGAGAGGTTTTTCCACAGATTGGAGAAGGCATGGTTTTGTGTGCTGCCTGCATCCTGCGGATGGGGTTTTGCTTGTTTGTGCGGCCTGGTTGCTAGCATGCTGCGGCCTGGTACCGGTCCACGGCCTGGGGGTTGGGGACCCCTGATCTAATGAGTTTATATGCTGTCACTATTTCAAGCTACCTAGAATGGTTAATAGTTTTGACATCTAAAATAAACTTTATACAATGTAGGACTAATTTATTAGGCTAATGATAGTCTTTTCAAGAATACTTAACTTGCACTTTTCTTCTTCATACCTTCATGGCAAATAATCCCGTGGAATCAAGGAAATTTTAGGAAATGACCAGGCTGAGCCTGAGGGAGGGGTTCAAATGTATCATCAGTCACTAGTCCTTTCACACATACAAGGGATATAGGTCCAGCCCACCTTGAATTCTTCTACCCTTATCTACCACCAATTTCCTTTGGCTGTTAATAGTCCAGATTCTTGTAGAGAGCTTATGCTTTCAATAAATGTTAATACCTATTTGAACTATCCGGATCTCCTGATTTCCATGACGCTTGACAGAAACTCAGTGAGAGTTATTCAGGTCTTTTTAATAGTTAGTGATGGTCCATTCAATAGGACTTTGGAAAAGTTCTGATCAGCTCTTTTTTGTCCTTTCCCAGGGCAAATCCACACTTAACATTTAAGCTGAATCTTGTCTTTCTACCTCATGTTACTCGGGGAAAAAAACAGTAAAATGATGTAAAACTAAACAAGTTTTTTTTTAAAAAGAAAAGAGAAAAGTAAAAAGTTGAGGACAAGAAAAATGTATCCTAGTCATTATGCTATATAGAACTCATGACAAAAGTTAGCTTTATTAGGTATTTGAGAGTATAATGAGCATTGACTTGATTGAAAAAGTGTTCCTTTCTTTTCTATTTAAAAGGATAGGAGCCTCAAGGTAACATAATATGGAAAAGTGTACTTCAGAAATAAAACAAAAATAAAAGCTTTGTCAGCTTTTGGGGACTCAATCAAAAATGATTGCCAGCCTCATCTGATGATGGGGCAAGCAAATAATGCAGATAAGCCCACTGTTTAATGTGAAGTAATTATGACATTAATCTAAGTGAAAATCATGGCTTTAGATTAACATTGTTAAATAAGTCAAATTTTATTTTATTTTGTTTAATTTTTTCTCACATGCTTAGAAAAAGGCTATGTTATCATTCCATACTTCTACACCAGCAGCTTGCAAGCATCTCTGGAAATGTGGTGTGGAGAATCAGGCTTTTTACAAGTAAGCAGAACTATTTCTATCATCCAGTAGGAAAAATTCACTTCAATAATATAATACAAATGTGTTCATGAGCCAAGAATATCAAGTAATCTGAGATTCCTTTCATGTTAAATCAGCATGCTACAAAGAGAAAATTTATTTATTTATTTATTATTTTATTTATTTATTAATTTAATTTGTACCCCGCCCTTCTCCTCATGGGACTCAGGGCGGCTAACAGCCTCATAAAAACCACAATACAAATACAATGATATCTATATTAAAAACCGAATTAAAATGACCTTTGATTTATCTATAGAAATTAATGAATTGGATACCTATGAGGAATACTTTAGAATAATCCAAAATATAAGATTAATTATATTTGATTAAGATTCTTTGGATATCAAACACAAATTCCTTTTTAAATTGTGATATTTTAAGTCTAGTAGCAGAATAATCCTAAACTTGAAGTATTAGTCTTGGGCAGGGGTGGGCATCTTGGCTCTTTTATGATCGTGGACTTCAACTCCCAGATTTCCTGAGCCAGCATGGCTGGCTCAGGAATTCTGGGAGTTGAAGTCCACGAGTCATAAAAGAGCCAAGGTTGTCTACCCCTGGTCTTGGGAGTATGAAGATTCTATACACTAAATTCAAGGTTAATTGATTTCTGGTTCTTCAAACAATTACAGATGCAGGTTGTGTTTGATTTACAACCATTCGTTTAGTAACTGTTCGAAGTTACAACAGCACCGAAAAAGACCCTGACTTATCAGTTTTCACACTTGCAGCCGTTGTAGCATCCTCATAGTCATGTGATCAAAATTCGAACACTTGGCAACTTGGAAGTATTTATGATAGTTGCAGTGTCCCGGGATCATGTGATCATCCTCTGTAATCTTTCCAACTGGTCTCCAACAAGCAAAGTCAATGGGAGAAGTCAGATTCACTTTAATGACCACATAATTCGCTTAACAACTGCAGTGATTCTCTTAACAACTGTGGCAAAAAGGTTGTAAAGTGAAGCAAAACTCACTTAACAACTGCCTTGGTAGCAATGGAAATTTAGGACTCAGTTGTGATTCTAATATGATTGTAATTCAGATTGTAGTCTGAAACTTAAACACTGATACTATCCTAAGTCTTGACATGTTTTAAAATAAAAATGGACATAAAACCTTTTTCAGTATAGGGAGTATAGCCTGGCAGATCAATGAGCACTCTTATTTCACTGGAATGCAATCCTACCTGCTAGTTTAAGTAATCTGTTATCATTTCCATCCCAGTAAATAAATACCTGCAAGCATAAATATCTAGCTGTCTATATGAGGAACACACAATGCAGGTATGAGTTATAAGTTATTGGGCACTATGCTGTAGGTTTCGTACATTATCTTCTATAAATACTTCCTTGATAGGGAATTCATAGACTCACTAAAATAATTGTAATAAAACAATTAGAAATATATTAATTGAATACTGGATTGAAAATCTGCTTTGTAAAGATTATTTGAAACATAGACAAATACACACAGAGAGATAGGGTAGATAAGTATGTCTGTCTGTTGGTAGACTAAGTCTTTATTTTCTTCCTTGAAAAGTTAACTATTTCATTTTGTGTTTCCTCTGAAGGTATGCAAAATCAAGCCAAATCAAAACCATGTCCAGCAGCAAAATATTTTTTAAAGGCAGCAGATTTAGATACAGGTAAATATTATTTTTATCCCAACAGGAAAAAATTATACAGGACAAGATGGATGGATGGATGGATTCCATAAAAAAAATCAAGTTCCTTAAGACTGCAAGCTTACATACAGTTACCTGAGTGTAAACCTCAGTGAAAGCAGTAGGTCTATGTGCACAAATATAAGACTGTATCATTTTAGCCTATGAAATGGTCCAGACTGTTGTTTTTTTTTAAAAAAAAAAAATACTTGCTTTTGACTGTATTAATATTTTCGTAAACTGCTCTGGAAATATAAAAATAAATGTGGAGAATATATAGGCAATCCTATTCACATGGACTTGAAAATAAGCACCAATGATTAAAATGAGAATTTATGTCTGATTAAATATACCTAGAATTACGCATGTAAAATATTTATGAAGAGATAAAAACAAATGGTTTTTGGTAGACAGTATATTAGATAGCTTATTGCTACTGATTTGAGCAGAATTATTCTTATAAATTGGACTGAATGAACCATAGTCCAGTGCAGGGGTAGGCAACCTTGGCTCTTTTATGACTCGTGGACTTCAACTCCCAGAATTCCTGAGCCAGCCATGCTGAGGGGAAAGGGAGAGGTTTCCAAGCTGAGCCATGCTGGCTCAGGAATTCTGGGAGTTGAAGTCCACGAGTCATAAAAGAGCCACGGTTACCTGCCCCTGGTCCAGCGTAAGCCCCAACTCCATTTGTATAGGTATTCAGATTCTCAAAATCACAATGTTAAAATCAGATAGCAAACCAGCAATTTCTTTCAGCATGATTTTTAAAAATATATTTTAAAAAAGATAAAATGGATATTAAGTCTATCTTTGGCTCAATGATTTTTTCTGCCTTTAAAACTGTCTGATCAAACCCATGCACATATATAGAGAAAAAATTTCAGCACTAGCTCTTTGATGATATCACCAAAGATTAGTTTAAATAAGTAAATAAATTAAGTAAATAACTGCAGCCCTTATTAGAAGAGTATCGCCATAATTAAAACGCCAGCTTTATAAGGATATAGTTGCAAACATCCCACAATGATAGTTTTTGAATATTCAACTCCATTTATAAAGACAAAGCTTTTCCATTACTTGGTATCCTTCTTAATATATGAGTTGCTTTAAACATTTGGTTACTGCACAACAAATAATTTTTTATCGTACAAAAATTAGTTCTTAACATGTATGTTTTGTGACAGTGGAAAAGTTGCAAAAGAAGTTGTTGAAGCAAGTTCAAAGATCCAGAGGGAGCCTCCAGAAGTACACAGGTATTTTCTGATCTAAAACGCTTAAAGAATCTACTAACATTGACCTATATATTATAAATTGAAAAATTATATAACATATATTTAATTACTGTTCTCCCAGGAATAGAACATTGCTATTGGCTTTTAATATGTAATAGGAGCTGAAGGTTCATTTACATTATAGGATTTTTTTAGTGTTTCCTGACTCATTCCCTTCAATAAGGGGCTGTCATGTGTCTGATTAACGAAACACTAAAAAGGACTTTCAGGCATATTTTCTCCTAAAAGCATTTATTAATGTTAAAGATACGTCAGCACAACATGGAGGAAATGCTTAGGACTGGCTTCTTTTCCGCTATGCATGTATTTCTAAGCATTTCCCTCCCACCTTTCTTTGGGGTCATGGTTCACATCTTCCAATCAACTTGGAAGATGTGATTTACTTCCCGTTTCTTTTCCCCTTCTGCCTGGTTTAACTATAAAAATGCCAGACAGCTCTGCATGTTGTCAAAGCAAGAATATACAGTATTTGACAGGGGCAATATTTTAACTCAAATCCCAATTTATCGGATTAGGAAAATCCAAATGTTTTCAAATCAGTTTGGTACACAGGTAGTCCTCGACGTATGACCAGAATTGACTCCCAAATTTCCATTGTTAAGTGAGACATTTGTTAAGTGAGCCCTGGTCCATTTTACGACCTTTCTTGCAAAGTTGTTAAGTGAATTATTCCAGTTGTTAAATTAGTAACATGATTGTTAAGTGACTCTGCTTTGACTTTGCTTGTCAGAAGTTGCAAAAGGTGATCACATAGAAGTAGCACTTAGACTTATATACCGCTTCATAGTGCTTTACAGCAGTCTCTAAGGGATTTACAAATGTCAGTATATTGTCCCCAACAATCTGGGTTCTCATTTTCATCTCAAAAGGATGGAAGGCTGAGTCAACCTTGAGCTGGTCAGGATCGAACTGCTGGCTGTGGGCAGAGTTAGGCCTGTAATACTGCATTTTAACCACTGCACCACCTGGGCTCTCTCCCCAGTACACTACAACCATCATAAATATGAATCAATTGCCAAGCATCCCAGTTTTGATCATCTGACCATAGGGATGCTGCAACAGTCATAAGTGTGAAAAACGGTCAGAAGTCACTTTTTTCAGTACTGTTGTAACTTCAAGTGGTCACTAAATGAATGGTTGTAAGTCGAGGACTACCAATAATTGCATAATTCTATTTCACTGTTTCAGGTTTCACTAGGCATTGGCTACAAGAAATAAAAGTAAATAACTTCAAACTGTTCTGCAACATGTTTTGCACAAATAAATATTTTGAAGAGGGTAACAAGAAGATTCTTTTTCTTTTTTTATATGCCACATAAGTATCTTTCTTCATGTATGTGTCTACATACATACCTACAGCCTAATTTATTATATAGTCAGTAGGATAATTTATCCCCTTTTTTCACAGAACCAACATTACTCAAAGTCGTAGCTCTTATTCTTTGAGCAAACAACTCATAATTAACATGGAACCTCTGCAGCCTCTCCATCCATCACCAGATGACCAGGAAGAGGTTCTTTCTGATGAAGGCAAGTCTAAGCTAAGAGTCTCCCTTCTGTTTTTTATTTTTATAAAGCATATCAATAAAGTCAACAGCAATCAATTTTTCAAAACGCACAGATTGCATTTGTGATATTTGAAAAGTTATTTTCATTCATATAACTAGCAAAATTGCTGGACAATTGCTGATATGTTGCTGATGAAAATGCACTGGCGGCAGTTTTAAATTACTTAGATTAAAATATTATTTAGATTGTAGAATACTAGAGGTTCAATAAAAAAGAGTGGGAACTGATTCACCTTGATCATAAATTAGATTTTCCATTTAATAGATGGGGGTTCATTCTGAGACATAAATTCTTCACAACTTCTCATTGCCTGGTAGTTGTTGATTGAAACTCAGTACAGGTAGTCCTCGAGTTACGATCACAATTGAGCTCCAAAATTTATGTTGCGAAGTGAAACATTTATTAAGTGACTTTTCCCCCATTTTACGACCTTTCTTAACCACAGTTGGTAAGTGATTCATTCCAGTGGTTAAATTAGTAACACGGTGGTTAAGTGAATCTGGTTTTCCCATTGATTTTGCTTGTCAGAGGGTTGCAAAAGGAGATCACCTCAGGGCACTGCAACCGTCATAAATATGAACCAGGTGTGCCAAGCATCTGAATTTTGATCATGTGACAATGGGGATGCTGCAACGTTCGTAAGTGTGAAAAACGTTCATAAGTCACTTTTCTCAATGTTGTTGTAACTTTGAACAATCATTAAATGAACTGTCGCAAATCAAGAACTACCTGTATCATAACTAGGTCAGGGGTCTGCAATCTTGACAACTTTAAGACTTGTGGACTTCAGCTCCCAGAATTCCTGGGATAGCTGGCTGAGGAATTCTGGGAGCTGAAGTCCACAAGTCTTAAAGTTGTCAAGGTTGCAGACCTCTGACCTAGGTCATCTTAGGATAGATTATTGTTCTTCAATCTTTTCCTTAAAATATTTAAGGAAATACTGCCATGGGATGGGACTAAGTCACAACCTATTGTAACATTTCTAAAAAAAAAAGCTTACAAAATACCCCTCCATTAATATCAAGTAGTCAAGGAACACTTTTAGACAAAAGTGCATGTAACTGAAGCTCCTAATGCAACATCTTTTCCCTTAACTGCTGCTGCTATTTTTATACCCTGTCAGGGGAAGATCCTGCTATCAGTCCCCACCTGGTACAGCAAGATCCCATGCCTGTACTCCTTCCTGGAAGCCTTACAACTTGGAAATCTGGATCTTTCTCCATTCCACGTGATACTCCTTCCCGTATCCGTGCCCCCAGATCTCTTGGTGAGTGTTGATATAGGGGTGTATGTGTGTCTGTAGGATATAGCTGTCAAGCTTTCTTATTCAGGAACTCAGTGGCTACTAACTTCTCAAAGAATAATGCAGCTAACTTTTATTACAAGCAGAATAGCTTCCAGTTGGTCAACTCTCATTGTACATATACAGAATTACATACATACATATTCAAATCATTCCACCTGTTCCCTGCATTTTCCTTTTGTCAATTCAAGGCCAGCTTTTCCTTTGTTACTCTCCCATCTTCATATTGTCAGCATTCTTTTCCTGCAAAGTAGACAGAGCACTGTCCCCGACATGAGAAACAACCCCTTCTGTGACAATAGCTAATCGCAGCATCCATGCATGTATGTACATGCACTGTTTGGGTATTTTAGTGGGAAAAGGAAGAAGGTTGACGAAAGATGAAGACTGTGTGAATAGTGGGGGAACCTTTTCTCCTAATCATGAGATTATGGAGGGCCTCTTGCTTTCAAAACTTTGAACCAAGAGAATTCCTATGAATATTGCAGTCACGTGTCTCTTGGAATCGCCTTGGATCTGTCTGATCTCTCATGTTTCTTATAATAATTTTTTTTGCTATGGAGAGGATTTGACAAACACACTCCTTTGGATTTATATAGCAGTATGTTCTAGAGCAGTTTTCTGCTCAGATCACTTCTGATTTTGTAGGCACACTGGAATTGTCTTGTTGTAACAGAAATACAAGTAATCCTTGACTTAAAAACCACAATTGGGACCAGAACCTCCATCCATAAACGATACAGTTAAGTGGGTCATGCCTGATTTTACAATCATTTTTTTTTTTGCCACAGTTGTTAAGTGAATATGGATTCCCCCATTGACTTTGCTTGTCAGAAGCTGGTTGGGAATGCCACAAATGTTGATCACATGATCCTGGGATGCTGCAACTGTTGTAAAAGCAAGCTGGTTGCCAAGTGCTTGGATTGTGATCACATTGCTATGGGAACACTACAACACTCATAAGTGCGACAACTAGTCATAAATCACTTTTTCAGTCAGTCAACCCTGGGGAAAATACCAGTAGATCAAGTGTTGGTCCAAATAATTACTGTATACTTAGAATAGTACAGTTCAACATCAATTACTACTAGCAAAAACACTACTTCTGTTTCTGTTTCGTGACTCCTAATTGGGTGCAAGGTTTTCCTACAATAGCAGATATAGAAGCAGCAACATCAGGGCCAGGCTTTGTGTCCAGGCTTGCCAGTAAATCTTAGATTTGCAGTCATTTAGTTCTGAATTAAAGTCTTTTTTACATTTGTGAGAAGATGCCTAGCCACAATTTGGCTACATTAGATAATTATTTATCCCAGTGCAAAGAAGTCAGAGGCTTTCTATATCTGTGCTCTAGGGTTCAAACTCTAGGTTTCTTCTTCCCACTTTTATGAACAAAAACTCAATGGGATTGTGTGATAGTCTTGGGACTAAGAAAGATGTACAAAATGCCTCTCAGGTCTGGAAAGCACTGGAACCCATCCTGCTAACCTCAATATTTATACCTTCAACCTTTACAATCATTAGACTGAATTAAACAGGATTGCCTCTGCAGATAATTAAAAGTGTAGGTTCAAATTTAAAAAATAAAATAAATGCCCATATAAAAGTCATAATGACTTATATATATATGGCAAACTTTTATGTCTATTGCTTCAGTAGTCTGCATTATAACGCAGTAAACAGTTCAAGTGCTTAGACTAGTATATATAGTGTATAGTGCAGCTGTTAATTAACAACTGTTAAGGGAATGGCTGGCATTTGCTGTTAATTACTTAGTGTATTATGAGCCACTTGGAAGGTTTTAAAAATAGGCACTCAACTCTGTGCTCTAGTAGGCTATTTCTATTGGCCGAATTACAAGCTGTTATTTGATTCATTCAGCTGGGCTCTTCCAAGCTGGACACAGTGGAAACTTGGTAAAGGTCACAGCTGGTATGGGTGGCTAGTTCATTAAAGCTGAAATAGAAAATACAGCTTTTACGTCAATATGGTGAAATGCCTGGTAAAAATCCAAACCCGAAGGAGTATTCATTTGCGAATGGTTAACCACTGTAGTAAAGATGTGTGCATTCGTCTGTTGAGACATGGGTCGAAGATCACAGCTAAAAGTGCTGGTAAGGTGGGGGGTTTTTTTTGCCTAGTTACTTAAATATTTTTAAAGACAATGCCCCTTTTTCCTTTTTGTATATTGATAAGGGTCAATACTCAGGGAATAGTAAATTGTAGCACTGGGATTTGAATAGTTTTCCCTTTATCCAAAAGAGCAAACAAAGAACAGCTGGGAAAGCTGAAGGCTTGGATAAGGTAGGAAAAACAAAGCCTTCAGTGAAGAATGTCCTTCTAATAGATGGAGTTCAGTTGTATATTAAGTTATCATTTTAACCAGATACCTAATGTACTGAGAAATATGTTTTAAATGTCTTTGTAATAAATGCATGAATCTATGAATTATAGATAGTACAATTCCATGATATTTAAAATGTATAGATATCATTAGGGAATCATTATGCCCAAGTTCCTTCACCAAAAACCATATTAAATTGAAAAAAAAGGGATACTTCAACTGAGGAAGACCAAAGGAATTATTCTCAGAAATGTTATAGCCTATTTTATTAGTGAAGCTTTCTGAAATAAATTCTAGGACATCTTTCTTTCAGGAAAGTGATAATAAATCTCAGTGACAGTGATTCTCAAACTACAAGTCAGGATCCTCATGAGTCACAAACAGTTTTCAAACAGAGTATTTAAGATCTCAAATACTTTTAAAATCTGACCAGAGTTGTGCAAAGTGGGAGTGTCGTCAAAACCTTGGTGGAACTTTGCTTCTCATTTTGCTTCTGGAAGCACAAAGTGGGTGGCTGTGCTACCTCACAGATTCAGATTGCTGTAAAATTTTATTATTAAAAGTAAATGGTAAAATATATTTCTTGCTCAACTATAATCACATTGAAAGTATTTGTCAGCTGGCACAGAATGCAGCAGCATGGGCAGTTGTGTGTGTTTCTAGAACATCAAGTGTCACACCTCTGCTCTGCAAGATGTATTGGTTGCCAGTTTGCTTCTGGATCCAATTCAGGGTACTGGTTTTAACATTTAAAGCCCTTCAATGCATGAGACCAGGTTATCTGAGGAACCGTCTCTTCCAGATTAGCCCATCCCATTAGATCTGGCAAGAAGGCATATTATGGTTACCATCTACAAGGGACTTAGATTTGGTGGGTCCCAGGAGGCAGGTCTGCTTCTCTACTGTGGCACTGCCTTGTAGAACATTCCCTCCCTTCCTCCCTCCCTCCCTTCCTCCAAGGTTAAGTTGGCTCCATTCTTTTTAATGTTCCGTAAATCATTCAAGACCTGTTTATGTCATCAGACCTGGGAATACCAGGAAACTGAGGACATGTTCAAATGGCTCCACTAGTGAGGTGGATATGCTCATTCTCTCCATGCTTGGGATTTGTATGTTTAATTTTGATTTTAATTTTGAGCATGTATTTTTACATGTTTACTGTATATGATTGTTTTTATATACAGTATGTGATGTTTTATTGGATTATTGTATGCTGCCCAGAGTCACCTTTAGTGAGGTAGGTTACCATCTAAATCTGATTAATAAAATAAACAAAACAAACAAATAAATAAATACATTTCATTCATGGCAAGAGTG